AAATATAAAATTACTGATTGTTATAATAGTACTAAATTTTTCCTAAATATTTACAAATTGAAAAGTATACTTAATTGCGAACTTTAAAGTATACTTAACTACGAACTTTCCATTCACTAAGTAAAAAGCTTATATATTTTCTCATATTCTCCCTAAAAGGAGTTTGGGCAGCTCTTGAAGCGTGTTGAATCATCGAGTCTAGCCACACAATATAATTATTTTGTAAGACTTTTTTGTTTGATCATATAGTAATTATTATTGAGGAGCTCATGTTCGTCGTGTTGATTAAGCTACTTTTGTGTCTCATCTAATAACTCGCCGCATTTTTCTATAAAGTCATCTACATTTGATTTTTTCTAGAAGTAATTAAAATGATCGAGTTGTTAATACGTATCTTAATTAGTATGTATTAGAGTAGGTGGTCCCCATTTATTATCCAATATACATGTTTGAGAAATTTTGTTACATTTCATATTTGGTTTAGTCCAAACTACAGACGGAATTTTGACTTTTTTTTTTTTTTTGAATTAATTCATTATAGTCAAAACAGGTCAAAGTTAACATTGATGGTAGATCCGATACCTAACTGGCATTCATCATCGACGGACATCACCTTTCGAATTCACTATAGTGATTCGAGTTGGATTGTGTAAACCTAAATACTTTGAAAATCCATTTTAACTGTAACATAGTTTAAAATCAATAAATCATTAAATTCAAATAGGGGCTGACGCTGAGCCACAACCCCTGTCATCAGGCCTATGCATTCAGAATTTTTCTAAGAATTTCTAGAAATATAAATTTCTTAGACAGAAATATATTTTATTGAAATATCACTTTAGTCCTTTGAAAAGTGAAAAAACTGCACATCAAACCCAAACTTGCCAAAAATTTTAATACATCCTCTAAATCTCAAATATTATTTGCTAACTTATCACTAACATCAAATAAGTTCTTTACCAATAAATATTCAAAACATGCAAATTTCATCTCCATAGTTCAAGTTCAAAGTTTTCTCTCACGTTCATTCAAGTTTACATTTTTCGAGTTAATTCAAGTTTAACAATCAGTTTTTATGTTCTCACCCCGAGTTTAAGATTTTTTTGTCTCAATGTTTGAATTGCATGTTAGGCTTTTATATTTCATTTTTCCTTTTGTTTTTGCTAGAATTATAAGTCAATAGAAATGAATAGTGAATAAATGAGTAATACTTGTGGATTCTACAAAATATTTAGTTAAATCTTCCTCATTTACTCTCCAGTTATTTCAGTTCAGGATACAAACAACAGCCACTACAAGATCACGAACAACTTCTTCAAAAAGTCGAACGTATTCTATGAAATAGAAGAGAAACCATCCATTTTGCTGCTGCCATACATAAATGCTGGGAAACCAGACATTAATACAAGGAAATTAAGATAGTTCGATAGTGAAGATCGTATTTGAGCAGTATAAGCCTTTCATTCATTCTTCATAAGCAAGATGAAAAGCTCCTCATCAGTTATTGCTCCCAACTCCATGGCCCTTTCCAAAGCCGTGAGGCCACCACCGTCCTTGATTGAGGCACTCGCACCTCTGTATGAGGTACATGTAATATATGATATAATTAGGATATTGCAAAAAAATAAAAATAAAAAATAAAAAAAGAAGAAAAAGAAGAAAGAAAGTTGAAGATTTCAAAAAGACCCAGTTTCTAATCTGCTGTCTTTTAGTTCTTTTAGTCACTGAAGACAAATTAGATGATAGAATATGCAGTTTTCAATGAAGAATCATGACCATGAATGGATTTTACCTTCTAAGCAAAAACTTTGCCAATTGATTGTTTCCTTTAGATATGCAATGTTGCAGAGGTGTCCTTCCATGAAAGTCACACCTATTTATGTCAGCACCAAACTGCAGCAACAGCTCAAGCATCACAGGATTGCCACCGTGGCATGCAAGATGCAATAGCGAACAGCCTTGAAGGCAGTTTCCTGGATCACTGGAAGACTTGATCATCTCACAGGATGCAGGATCGAATTGTTTCTTTTTAGAATCATGAGGGCATTTTTGCAACTCTGGTCCATCATACCGATTGGAACCAACCAATTCATCATAAGTTATGTTTACAATATTCATATCTGATGCTACAATAATGCGATATACTTCCCGCAGGTTGTTGGCCCGAACTGCTTCCCAGATAGTGGAGGAGTGAGAACGATCCCCAGGTGAGTTTGCTACTTTATTTACTAGCAATTTCCCAGCATACTGAATTTCAAACAATTATCAAGTTTAAAGGGATGTATTGTGAGGAATGACACTATGATAAAATATTATAGAGGCTCCATACTCAATAATAATAATAATAATAAATAAATAAATAACCATTAATGCAGTAATATTGAATTTGTTAAAATAAACAGCATGCTTGACAAGGAATACAATTTTAAAACAAAAAATATATCCTGACTGAAGTTTATTTTAAAAACCCACTTCCAGTCAAAGCAACTTCAACCCAAGTAACTAAAAACCACAGCATTTATAATTTATTTCCATGAATGGAAAGTAGAAAAGTAAGTGCCTTTCAACACGATATAGTTCTTAGTCCATAGGTTCTAATATTGTTCAGAGAAATATCAGTATACAGAGTAAGTCCCAGAAATTAATAAATGATGAACTTAAAATAGTATACCTTTGCTTGAATGTACGTCTCCTTTTGTTGTGTAGCATCTTTTGGGTTTGGTTTTGTAACTGACGATGGCAAGGCATCAATTTCAATCTTTCTGCATCATGTAAGAAGTTGGTAAAAAATAATGAGTTTCACAACAATCTGAAAAAGCACAAGAGCTCATTGAATCAGCCAATTTGATGCGGAAGCAAAGCTGACAAAAAGATTATCCATTTATCATTCATGAATTTAATCAGATTCAATTCTCCCATTCCCATAACATATAAAATTACCAACATGAATGCTTAGTTAATAGATCTCTTGGGATCATACAGAATTGTATATTGACAGATGAATATATTTTCATAACGAGTTAAACCTTACTCTGCATTGCCTCGGGGTCCGCTACATAAACCCTTTTCACAGCTCCCTTTGGTCTAGCCTTACTTCTGGTGAAGTTTCAATAAAATCAAACCTTTTACAACAACCTTAGATCGTATTAACTTTTATCTACCTCTTTTAACCTGCCGTAATGGAAGCACACTACTCTTGCGATGAGAAATCCATTTAGGCTTTATTATACAAGCCCTGGCAATATTAGTCATCCTTTGCTAAATTTATCTCCAATTAATGTTAACTTGACTTGTTGGAGTATATCCTATTCTTTATTTTGTACATTCTAGTATTGTTACAAGTAAATCTTAACAACCTCAATTTTGCTACATTTACTTGTAAGCACTTTGTCCTTAAACAGTCAAACAGAACATAGCATAAATTATGTGCGTTCTATACCAATCTTGACCAAAATTCATTTCTATGACTGTTTTAGATTTCACTTTTTCACTTTTATTTTTCACATCTTAAGGAAAGGACTACACAAGTTGCCCAATTGCAAAGGTGCTGTGAAGCCATCATCCAAACCTGCCAAAGAGTAATAACAAAAATGGTACTCAGGTAGATTAAGTAGTGGGAGAAAGTGATGTCTCATGTCCGGTAAAATAACTGATTGACCTATTGCGGTTCTGTACCTGTTCGTCTAGGTCAAGTTTGGGTTCTGTACCTGTTTGTTAAGGCCAAGTCTATTACGGTGAACTACTCAGTCTCACCCAACAAATGTTACAAAAAATCTATTGTAGAAATTCAGAGTTAGCATTAAATTGAATGTAGCAGATTTTAGGTTGAGAACCAAGATGATAATAGCACTCTGATGATGAAGTAAGAAAAGTCAGGTTGCTACTTTTACACAGGTTCAAAAGAGTGTATTTGGACGCTCTCTCAATAGAACTGGGGAAAAGCCTGGATTGATAACGTACTGTTAGACTCATGAGTGCATAGTCCAAGTCTCTAAGAGAAGCTGCATGCATAAAGTGACTAGATGACCATATGCGACTAACTAGCAGGAGGCACATTCGTAGCCTAGCTGTGTCTTTCATTCGTACAATTAGTGAATGGTAAATTATCATAAAATCATCATATCAAAGAGTTATACTGGCATAAGGAAAGATAAATAGGCATCCAAAGTTCATAGGTGAGTGAAACTGACATCCTGCATATGAAGAAAAACTCAAAAAGGAATGGTCAGTATAAACTTGGTCTAAATCTGATTCACCTATGTTTGGGTCAAGCTTTGGTCCGATGTTATGACCCATTTGTTTTTGGCCGGAGGGGTGTGGGGCGCTTTTCAAACCCACCTGACAGATAGAAATCAGAAACCCAGTCATGCAATATCTTCAAGAATATATTGCAATGGATAGGCAACTTTGGAAGAGGTACATGATTGCAAATTGGAGTCGAAATGTCCTAAAACAGGTAAAAGAGTTCCCTTCCACAATTCTCCAGTTATGAAGTTGAGGCATGGAAAGAACTATTCTGCGGATCAGTGAATCTTTCGGATCTTATCGAGAAGTTGCCAATGTATAGATGACTGGATGTTGGGGGTACTTTGTGCTCCTCAACAGGAATTGCACTATGTTAAAATCCCGAAATTACTGCTGGAAGGAGATGGATTGATTGAAGAAAATTGGAGGAGATCCTTCTTTCCTTAATTAGTGTTGTATATTATATATTTTTTGATTTCTTACTAAATATAGGGGATTAGATTTTTTATTCCTTTTTCAGCTTTCTTTGTAATATTTATATGGACTCTCTTCATTGTACAATTTAAGAGAGAAATAATATAAGTCAATTTCCCTTCATGGTATCAGAGCCATGGTATCTTCTAGCCTAGCCAGAGTATGGCTGAAGCAATCGGGAACAACGGAGGCTCAATGACCTCTGAGTCATATAACAGTGAATCTGAAGCAACGTCTACAGGAGGTATTGAAAACTCATCCTTCCAATTTACGATAGAAAAATTGAATGGGAAGAATTTTCGTGAGTGGGCCCAATCGATAAAACTTATTGTGGATGGAAAAGGGAAATTGGGGTACCTGGCAAAACCAAGAAACCAGTCCCGCTCTTCTTCAAAAATGGAAGTCAGAGAACTCGATGGTGACCGCCTGGCTCGTGAATTCTATGCAACCCGCCATCGGCAAGACATACTTGTTCCTCCCAACAGCAAAAGAGGTTTGGGAGGCCGTAAAAGAGATGTACTCAGACTCTAAGAATTCCTCCAAAATTTTCGAAATCAAATCAAAATTGTGGCAAACGAAGCAAGGGGAACGAGAAGTGACTGACTACGACCTTGAGATGAATGGGTTGTGGCAAGAACTCAACCAAAGTTCTGAAGAAGAATGGACGTGTGCTGAAGATAGTGTTCAATACAAGAAGAAACTGGAAAATGAACGCGTGTATGAATTTTTGGCAATACTCCACCGCGACCTAGACGACGTTCGGGGGCGAATTCTTGGCCGGCGACCCCTTCCCTCGCTGCGAGAAGTCTTCGCAGAGGTACGACGAGAAGAAACCCGGCGCAATATAATGTTGAGTGAAGCCAATGTGCTTGGGCCTTCGAATGTTGAAGTTTCTGGATTGATGTCTAAAGGAATTGGGCCTTCTAATAATGGGCCTGCTAATTCGGGTAGAGGAGCAACTTTCAATCATGCGCCAAATGAGTTTGGTAACGGGCCTGGAATAACTAGGCCTACTAATTTGCACAGTGGAGCTGGTTTTAATCATGGGCAAAATAAATCCAACATTGGGCCAGGAATGATTGACCTATATTCTAAAGGGGCAGCAAGTGGATCGGGTCCAAAACAGCAAAGGGGTCGGCTCTGGTGTGAGCATTGTCAAAAATTAGGGCACAGAGAAGACACATGTTGGGACATACATGGAAAACCAAGCGATTGGAAACCGAGACAAAATAATAAAAATCGTGGATACTAGGCATCAGTTGATTATCAAATGGAAAAATCCGAGTCTAGTAGTGCATTTAATTCTGAACAAATGGAGCAACTCTACAAATTGTTTTTAAGCTTCCAATCATCGAGTCAATCCTCTACAAACAACCCGACGAGCTCACTAGCCCACAGAGGTAACTTCTTAAGAGCATTGAAGTCTATAACTCAATCTAAAACTCCCTGGATTATTGACTCGGGAGCATCTAATCACATGACGGACTCTTACCATCTATTCTCCACATATTCCACTTATGCCGGTAATCTTAAAGTTAAAATTGAGGATGGCTCACTCTCTTCAGCCGCAGGAAAAGGGAGTATAAAAATCTCTGATTTTTTAACTTTAAAATCCGTCCTCCATGTTTCAAATTTATCATGCAATCTACCATCCATAAGTCAATTGACCAAAAATTCAAATTGCTCTGCTAAATTTCTACCATCTCATTGTGTTTTTCAGGACTTATTATTGGGAAAGACGATTGGTAGTGCTAAAGAAATAGAAGGACTCTATTACTTTGAAGAGGCTGATGTGAGTAAACAACGTCAAGTAACATTTTGTGATTCTACATCTGTCTTTAGAGATAGTGATATTATGTTATGGTATTTTAGAATGGGTCATCCAAACTTTCAGTACTTGAAACGTGTATTTTCCTCCATTTTTCTGAATAAAAAGCCTATTGATTTGCAATGTGAAATATGTGAATTTGCAAAACATCAACATGCATCATTTCCAAAGTCTACATATAAACCATCTAAACCTTTCACTATAATCCACAGTGACTTGTGGGGCCCTTCACGAATCCCTAACCGTAATCATGCAAAGTGGTTTGTTACGTTCATTGATGATCATACTCGAATTTGTTGGGTCTACCTCCTAAAGGAGAAATCAGATGTTCGCTCTGTATTTCTCAATTTCCATTCCATGGTTCAAACACAATTTCTAACACAAATCCAAATTTTGCGAACTCATAACTAACGGTACAGAATACTTCAATACCATCCTGGGAAATTTCTTTCAAACACGTGGAATAATTTATCAAAGCTCATGCGTCGACACTCACCAACAAAATGGGATCGCCGAACGAAAAAATAGACACCTCTTAGAGGTTGCTTGTGCTTTGATGTTTACCACTAATATGCCCTAAATGTTTTGGAGAGATGCTAACCTGACATCTACCTACCTAATCAACCAAATGCTGAGTCGTACTCTTAACTTCGAATCACCCCTCCAAAAATTTCAAAAGTTCTTTCCAACCTCTCGTCTCAACTTTAATCTATCACTAATAGTATTTGGATGTACCGCTTTTGCCATATCCACTCCCATCATAGAGGTAAACTTGATCCTTGAGCTATTAAATGTGTATTGATTGGGTATTCCCTTACTCAAAAGGGTTACAAATGTTATGATCCCTCTACAAAAAGACTCTTTGTCAACCTGGATGTTACCTTCTTCGAAACTAAACCATATTTTGAAAAAACCTCTCTTCAGGGGGAGAACTTACATGAAGATCGGTTCTTAGATTTCGATCTTTCTCCTCTTGAACCTACACCACCGATAAAACTTCTTTCACCATTGAATATGCCATTTACAGAAGGTAACTTAAACTCAGGGGGAGATGTAGAAAAACAAAATGATAAAGAGATACTAGTCTATTCACGAAAGCCAAAATCAAAGTACAAGGAGACTCTCACATCCGAAGCACCAAAAGAGTCAGACCCGATGATAGCTCCACATCCTCATGAAGCATCAGAAACTTTAGATTTACCCATTGCTGTTAGAAAGCAAACTCGATCATGTACTCTCCACCCTATTTCAAAATTCATGTCTTATAATACCTTATCTACTGAGTTTCGTGCTTTCACATCTCATAAGGACTGTGGTTAAGAAAACTTCTAAAAGAATTGCGGGTTATAAAGTTCCCAATCAATCTTTATTGTGATAATAAAGCAGCGGTCAATATCTCCTTAAACCCAGTTAAGCATTATCGCACCAAACACATAGAAGTAGACAGACACTTCATAAAGGAAAATGTTGAGGAAGGAACTATTTGCATGACCTATGTTCCTACACAGGAACAAACAGCAGATATATTTACCAAAGGACTACCTCGACAAAAATTCGATGATTTCATATACAAGTTGGATATGATCAACATTTACGATCCAACTTGAGGGGGAGTGTTAAAATCCCGAAATTACAACAGGAAGGAGATGGATTGATTGAAGAAAATTGGAGGAGATCCTTCTTACCCTAATTAGTGGTGTATATTATATATTTTTTGATTTCTTACTGAATATAGGGGATTAGATTTTTTATTCCTTTTTCAGCTTTCTTTGTAATATATATATGGACTCTCTTCATTGTACAATTTAAGAGAGAAATAATATAAGTCAATTTCTCTTCACACTGTCTAATATATATATATATATATATATATATATTTGTCCCTCTAAGCAATCCCTGGGATAAAATCAAACTCTCACTTTCTTTGTTCGCAAATAACTCTCCATGTTTCAGTTTATCAACAGAATGAGCGAACTTAGAAGTTTCATGCTGGGATATAAAACAAAACACAAAGGAGAATGGTCAAAAAATTATAATTTAAAGTGGTAAAGATGGGTTTGGTTAGAATGCTGTAAATAACAAATAATAATATAAAAATTCACATGGGCACATGGGTGGTACTACAAGAATATTTAATAAGGCTGTCATGGAAATTTAAGTCGAAAGATGGGTATTGTCAGAATATTGTTTAAGAAATGTATTAAGTTAATATCACAACTTAAGAAAATATCATAACTTATATAACATATACATGCTAATTTAATCTGATCTAAAAGAAAAATCAGGGTTAAGAGTGCTTAAGAATACATGTTATAATTGTAAATTCAAATCCATGAATACGAAGTTGTTCCTCAAGTCCAAGCGTGAGCCTACAATTGCAATCTATGAAGTTCCAATAGTGTTCATGCCACATTTTCCAATAAACACTACATTCAGAAGATCTCTGATCACAAGCTCTTCACTACATACAGTAGACTGATAGCATACACTCAGGGTGGTACAGTTCAAGGAACTTACCCATCTTTCTGAAGAAAAAGAAGCTCCTCCCAAATAGAATTACAATATTCATTACCGAGAGTCTGAAATAATCCCAAGACAGTAGGCTCCCAAACTTTGACATCTAAGGTGACAGATCTCACCTGTAGTTGGTGGGACAAGCATTGGATTAGTCTACATTATGATATTCATTGATATCTCATATAGGATCAATATAATTCATGTCCATGTCTTGGGTGTCGAACACAATAAATATGTTTTGAATTCAATTCATCTATAGAGTATTAAAATCATATTTAGCCCTTATTTGATTAAGATTTTTACAAAATCTACTTTTCCTCAAAACTCATTTCCAGCCACACGTTTTCCCAATATAATAATTTTGCACGTGAATCTATAACTTTTTCTTACATTTTAACCACACATTCTCCGAAAAAATCACTTTTTACAAAATCGCTTCTCAAACGATCTACATCAAACAAGGCCTTAATTTTATTTATATATCAGATCCATCATGCTGCGAAACAACAAGTAAACATATTTAAGTGGACAATTATTGGTTATGTCACGAAATTCTTGAACATATTTATTATTAATTGCTGACCTTATTAATACAACAAATTCGAATTTTTGTTGGTGAGTAATCTGGAGAAGTTTGAGGAGTGTGTTGAACTAGTCAGCTCAGTAAGTTCATGCTGCGTCACAAACTCTAACTCACGAACTAACGTGTTAGTTAAGTATAGATTCAACGGTATAACTTTTCATATGAATAGCTATACTTTTGAAACTGAGTTTTGGTATAAAGATATGATTCAATTGCATCATAATCAAATATCATTATGCTAGGAGAGAGTGTTAAAGATTTTCCTTATTTCCTATTAAAGATTTGATTAAACATTATTTGATATTCTTTTATCAACATGCTCCAAAAAAAAAAAAAAAATTACTAATATATTTCTTGAAAATTCTTGTGTATCAATTAGGTAACAAATTGAAGAAAATTTTCTTGTCTAAGAAGAAAGAAAATCATCTATAAATGGAACAAGGGATGGAGATTTCTGAATAATGAAGTCTATACGTTTACACTCGCCCCTGAACTCGTGACTCAAATAAGTTCACATGTTAAGACTCACCAATGAACAGATGACTTAGTGAGTTCAGTGCAAAGTGAAAAAAATTCAAATATTTGGGTAGAAATCT